CATTTTACAAATCTGTATCCCCTCTGTGACAATCTAGTCCAGATTGTCGACATAAAGTGGATTATGATTCAATCTGCATGCAAAAAAAACTGTGAAATCTCACTTTATTGCGTTTTTCTAAAAATGATAAACGTTTTGCAAATCAAAAACTGTACTTAAAAGAAACTTTAGCTTCACCTGGACAATTTAGTCCAAATCTGACCAATCTGTATCAAATCTATACCAAGTAGTTTTATATCTGTATGTGATATAATGTATTCTACAAATGGACAAAGATTCACAAATTAAGATTCACACACAGGTTTCATCATTAAAATGTGGAACACCAATCTACTACTGTATTGCCTTTTTAACTTTTTCTGAATCAACAGCTGACTTCAGCATTCTGGCTAATTCTGTCTCCATCAAGCTGTTGGAATCAATGGATCCTACATTTCCCATAACTGATCATCGCTGCTTGGGAAGTCTTCTCTGATTGTAGAAAGCTCCTCCAGACCTACATCAGACAGATGTTCTGTATATAAACTGTGCATGGCATGAGTCTGTGAAGGTTCCCTTTGGTTAGGAAAGATTTGAGAGTCATTTCTGTAATGATCTTCATCCACCAGTGAGAGGCAGTGTTTGTCCTGTGAAAGCTCACACTGCAGCCAGAGAAGTGGAGTCATGTTGTATGTCACTGTATGTAGAAATAACTACTGGACAACAATAAATAGGAGTTACTACAGATGATTGGAGGATTTAAAACAAACAAACTAATACTCTAGATATCACCATGAAACTGGAGGAAATCCATTTTCACCTTGTTCGTAGGAATGAAATGTTCTATAAACCAATGAGGGGGGGAAAAAAGAGACATAAGATGTGATCTTAATAAATACGTATTATGGACACAAACTATCCCAAAGTTTCATGACTGACCAGTGCATTAAATAAGCTTTTACCTTTGGGAGGAGACAAACAAAACATTTTAATTGCAAAAAGATTTGGAGAGTTTGAGTATTGAAGGGGATGTATGTCCTTCGCCCTCTAGGAAATCTGTTCATATGCCTTCTAATTACATTACATATTAAGTTTGATAATGCAAAAAGTAATAAGTACTTCTTCGCCTGTGATCACAGACATTTCAAACCAACAGGTTTTCTTCAGGCTGCAGAGCTGGCAGTGAAATCTAAATACAATCTAATCCAAGCAAATGAGAATCCCTGTAAATGGGTTTTCTCTCAGTTAAAACAAACCAAAACGTAAATGAGCCCAGGCTCCCGTGTGTTGTTGTGATCCAGCGGAGTGATTTGTATGGATGGATACAGGTTTGATTCAGACAGCTGACACATGCAAACCATCTGCCTCCGACAGCTACCGTGAAAACATATTGATCCCTGAGGGGGCAATGAGACTGTTGCAGCTGTACACAACAGCAAAAAGGATGGGGGCTGCCATTCAACGAGAATTAAAGATAAGCAGCAAGAATATGTGAGCAAGCAGTAGATTACATTCCCATAGAGCGGCGAGACAAGCCCCTTAATCGGTGTAAATATGACAAATTAAGACAAATGCAAATTGTTGAATCAAAATCAAACATAAATTGCACTTTGAAGTCAAACTGGAGGTGTATTTCCCATTTGCCTTCTCAGTGACATCTGCCAAAGTAGAAACAAAGCACCGTCAATAATCAAAGAGGCAAGTCAGGAAACGAAGCTGCTGCTGCAGTGATGGATGCGGACTGTAAGCATGATTGTTGGTTCATTAGTGTTGACAGTTTGCTCAAGTATCACCGAAAAAATATATTGCTGACAACTCAGTGTTATTGCCTCTAAGCATTATTTATGTAAATAAATGACATGTGTATCCATTCTTTTAATGTTAGTAAAGTGAAGGTAATCCTCCTGAAATCCATCCAT